TTTTAATAAAATATTTCAAACTTTAATACAGAAATAACTTGTCTCTTTTCCTCTATATGAAAGACATGTAACAACTAATCCTAAGTATAGGATGAATAGTCGCATTTGCACGACTTTGCTAACAATTTTAACTTTATGTGTGTGTGTGTGTGTGTGTGTGTGTGTGTGTGTGTGTGTATGTGAATATTTTTTTATAATTTATCTAAAGGTTGTACCTATATAAAAGTGTGCATAATATTAAAAAATATTGTATGCATCTTTCTTTTTTAATTAGTGTGTAAAATGTGTGACCCGGTTTTCCGTATTCTAATGATAGTCCTTATTGTAATATAATGCAGTTGTATCGATAGTGTTGAGAAGACGGCTTACGCTTGCAAGAACGGAATATTTAAAGACGGAGGCAAAGAACAAGAAAATCCCCGAGATTACACGTGATATTTACGATATAAAGCTCCGTTTACGCTGATCTCCTCTGTTCTTCTCCGTTCCTCTCTTAACGGAGCGTATTCTTTTCAACAAGACCGGATTTCCAGAACTCATTTTCATAAGAAGTGCAGATACAAGGCAATATTACGTAAGGAAGAGAATCGCTCAGTGTTTTACCGCGGCGGAGAGAACAGAAAATTCTCATCAGCGAGAACATCCGGGTTAAAGTGATGAACAATATTGCTGACAAGCGCGCGCGCGTTCTCATCGAGTGCGGTCGGTCCGCGTAAGATCGCGGTAAAATTGCAGGGGAAATAACATGGACATAATATACATGGACTCCGAATACCCTATGTTCTGTCGTCTAATAGAGTGAAGTCAAGTGAAGCCAACATCTAGAAAGAGAGCGAGGGACTATAGTTTTCTTCCCATTTTGTCACTTTTTTGTTGCGCGTGCATCCGTTTCTCGTTTCCATAATATTATAGAGCGGAACAGCACCCTTAGACTGGCAAATAAACGTCTTACTTAGACTTTATTGCACACTTTGTCTGCGCAGAAAGAGACAGAGAACAGAAGGGCTGTACATATTGCTTTTCAATTGCAATATTCCTAGACACTTTCATGCACACGGCGACACAAGTTGCACTCCAATTGTCGTAATCGTCAACACAATACTACTCAGCACATCCGTACTCAGCTTGAGGGCTACTAGTCGGCTGTGTAAACTAGTGTTTTCTAGTGAAAATTAAGGTTAATAAGCATAGCAGCTTGAAAAGAGACTGGCATTTGCGACGTGAAGTGGATAATATCTTTTTCATTATTTAGATTTTATTATTGAAAAATACTAAGATATAAGCATAGTTGAAAAATAATCCTAACCTTACCCGACATACATATACATTAGTACACACTTTGTTCCAATTGAATCGTGCACAACGTTACACTTTGTGCATTTCTGTGTACATATGTGTCAAGCAATTGAAAAGCATCCATTGGCTTCTCTTTTCTGACTGTATGCGGAGTCTATGTATATTATGTTTATGGTCTCTTTCTACATGTCGGGTTCACTTTTCTGGTATGCGGGGTCTATGTATACGTCCATAGGAAATAACGCGTGCCGCGGTTGCGACGGCGCGATATGCAGAGACGGATCATTTTTACGCGCGTTTCACACGGGATCGCGATCGACGACGACAGATCGCGAAACAACGTATCGAAACGGCTCTCTCGCTCTCGCTGGAGAACACCGGGCTCGGACGGAAAAGTAATTTCCCTCGGAAATACCCCGGGGATGAGACGCCTCGTTCTCGCCCCGCTCCTCGCCTGCGTGATTATCGAGATTCTCGTCGCTTCTTTTTTGCCCGCCGCAAAATATCAGCCGTTTTTACGACCGCGATTTTCGTACCCACGTATTTTTCTTCCGTGTCGGACCGTTAAGTCCTTTTTTCTCGCGATCGCATGCCGCCTGCCGACGCCGCCGACGCTCATCGCTCGCGGACATTGCCGGAGTCGTTTAAGGGTTAAACTTGGGAATCTCTTTCCGTGCTGGGGCTTAATTCTGGCTCGGGATTATTATCACTTTCGGAGATCCGCTAAAAGGCACGGCGGTCTTTCATGCTACGAATTCCACAGCTCGCGAATAATGCGAGCCCCTGCCCCGTGAGTCGATTTACCGTCGCTACGTAATTATCCACCTGCTGATGAACGTGTGCACGGATTTCGATTCAACGCGAGCGCACCGTGCCCGCCGAGCGGATTTTAATATTCCCTCTGCATTCCTGTCTTTGTCGCCGAACGTTCCGAGAGTGCCTGGTTTTTCCAAAAAATTCATTTCCACACGATCGTTTCGAAAAAGTAACGAGCAACCGCGTTCCATAGTGGATTGACACTTAATTACCCTTGATATCGAGGATATTACAAGCTTATGAAATGACTAGTACTAATCAGCTGTCATATATATAGAGAGAGAGAGAGTAGAGAGATAGAGAGAGAATACAGAGAGAGTGGACTAGCAACAGGTACAAGGATTTGTGCCATTCGGCGTCAATGCACCGACCCGCTTCCGCCAAACCATCAATAGAACATACTTCACGATGAAAAGTAATTAACGGGTTAATTTTCGGTCGGGTAAAAGGTAGCTGGCGCATCATTATCCGTAGTGACGCAATAATTGATTGTAATTATACAATATTAATAATTGTATAATAATTACGATCTAATCACTCGACGTGTTGTAGACTTAATGAATAAATAATTAAATTTTTTCTTCTTCTTCTCCTTCTTCTTCAAATTATAGCTTATTATAGATATTATTCCTTTAGCCAGAATTGAATTTCTTGAATGCGCGTATATTAAGAATTGTTGCAACTCGTAATATTTTTTGGCAGAAGAATAACCAACGTACGGCTCAGAGGAAGCGTATAACATGAAAGATACATGTTTCTCTTGCTTATGTATGGAAAGGAAAATTTGGTTGGGTTAAACAAATATCTCATGAGATATGAACGAACCAGAAATTCCGGTTACAAGATTTCTGGAAATTAATAGACTTCCGTTTAAGCTAATAAGATTTTGGTTAATTAAACAAGATTTCTGATTGGTTAATTCTTGTTTGGCTAAATACATTCACTACCAAAGTCACACGTGTGTAACACATCAATCTCCCACTTCAAGTTTACTTAAATTCATTTAAGTTTTTTTAAAAATTTCAAAATTTTCAATTTCACTCAACATGTTCATTATCAACATGGGTATGACAAAGATTTTCTTTACACACACATCCACACATAAATAAAACAAGTCTGTTTTATACGATTATATGATGTAATGATCCGTGCAGAGAATTCCTCAAATATGGTAAATAATAGCGAACGAGTTAACCCATTAAGACCCAAGAGAAAACCGCTAAGGATAGGTTTTCAAAAACTATCTAAATTAGGGCAAAACGTTGAAATTTGTTAAAAAGTGAAAAAAAAAATTTGAAATTTTGATCTATTTGAGTGAAAATCTATATAGGGGGGTTTGGGGTTCGCTGACTATGAATATGCACTTATTTTTTAAAAATTTGTAATAGCGGATTCAATATGGCAGCCCAAAAATGCGAAAATTTAACATAGTTTTGTTATTTGGCGAAAAATCCAACCAAATTATAAGCTACCTTTCAAAGGTATTTGTTTTGGGGCAAAACATCATATTTTACAGATTGTAGAAGAAAAATGGTTTTTTGACTTTAAAAATCAATATGACGGCCAAAAATTTTTAATTTTGATTTATTTCAATGAAAGTACATTTTGAAAAATTTTGAAAAAATAAGTGCATATTTATACTCAGCGAACCCAAAACCCCCTACACGAATTTTCACTCAAGTAGGTCAAAATTTCAAATTTTCAGGCCGACATATTGGTCCGCCCCATCTTGAATTTTGAAATCCAATACAAATTTTTTTTTCACTTTTTAATAAATTTCGACGTTTTGCCCTAATTTAGATGGTTTTTGAAAGCTTATTCTTAGCGGTTTTCTCTTGGACCTTAATGGGTTAAACAGAATCTTGTTAACTTGAATGGGATTCTTCGGTAAACTCAATCGGAATTCTGGTTTGTTCATATTTCATCAGATATTCGGTCAATTCAACCAATTTTTTTTTTCATATATTTTTGTAACAGTTGTCATAGGTAGATTGCGACCGGGGTAAAAACGAGAACTAATCAAACTAACGAATTTGTGAAGCAAAAGTTCGAGAAGTCGCGATTTTTTTCGCGCGCGCGAGTATTATATGTGCGTGTGTGTATGTAGCGCGGCGTACGGTATTCCCAGTGAGAAATCATTCGCGACGAGAGGTATCGATACGGGTTTCAGAACCGCGCGAGCTTTTCCGCCAAACAATGAAACATCGCCTCCGCGTGCAAACACCATCCGGGGCTCTCGTCTCACTTTACGGGGAGCCTGAGAACACGTCGAAACGCGCGGGACGTTGCGCGGATCCCCGATGCTTCGGACGCTGGGAACCATACGGAATCGGATACAACAGCATAAAAAGATGGGGTGGAGGGGAAGAAAGAGGGCGAAGGAGAATCCTTGAAATCGACTGGAAGAGGAGAAAAGGATATTAGGTCGCTCGTCGAGACCAAAGGATCTATGTATAACACAATCAAGAGGGCGAGGGGCAACGATTTTCTCCGGCGAGAAGGAGAACCGGGGAGGAGGGTATTCGGCTATTGTCGGAACACTACCCGAAAATTGGCCGCAATTAAGGTGGTGCCGCTGGGTGAAAGGTTGCAAGTGGAAGGCCGTCGAGGTCGTGGATGGGGACGGTAAACTTTTCGCGATGCCGAGAGAATGCTGCTTTGCCAACTCGCTTTTCGTTTTCGCAAGCTCTGATACGGGATACGGGTGCCGTCTGCTTTATGATTACTTTTTAGTCGTATTACGTGGGTCAGAGCGGGCTCCGTAGCGCCGCAGGATGGCGAAAACGGCGACATGATTCGGTCTTATCATAGCTTCGTTTAAAGCCGCGGGAACATTGGCAAACAAGGCGACGAGTGTTCAAGATTGATAATGGAATATGGCCACTCACCGTCGATGTCGATCTCCTGCAGCATTGTCCTCAACTCTTCTGCCCTTGCAAATTGTCCCAAGGAACGCATCACCCTGCCAAGTTCTTCCTTCGTGATAGTTCCGTCGCCGTCCTTATCAAACAGCCTGAAGGCCTCTCGGAATTCTGCAGGAAAAGAATACCGTGAGAGACGGTCCATCGTGTGTCGCTTTTGTTTGCTTTTCTTGCGGGAATAACTAAGATCGTCCCGAATTGTCTGAGAGAATCGTTCGAATAAAATATAGCGAGTCGTCGTCGTTGCGCTATCACTCATGAGAGAACTAATTTAAACTACCCGGCGTTGCCTGAAGCGAATCAAGGAGAGGAGGTGGGGTGTCCTGATATCATGGTGACCTGTATTTTACGCAATGTTCTAGAGAATAATTATACAAAATTTGATCCAAATCGGTCCGGGAATTTAGAAGTGTAGGAGAGACCGGGACTAGATGTCTCATATTTCAGAATTTCGAAGTTACAACTTCTCAAACATAACTAACTGATGTGACTGATTGTACAAACATGATAGAAACATCCTTCTTCTATGTGTTAAAGCTCACCACGATCCTGTTAACCGTATATTTTGTTTTGTAATAATCAAAACGTAAACACGTAGCAAAGTGACCATCTTGCTTCGATATCGAGTTGAGAAGGTTAAGTTGCACGAGTTAAGAGGGCCATATGTAATATATGTTTTAATAGTTCTGAAATCTTCGCGAGAAGTCTCCATAGTCTTTCTGCCCACCTTTAATTATGGGCCAACTTTATTTTATTTGCTCATATGCTCGATTTTAATCATTTTATGAATAAAAATTACTTTTATTATCTGAAACAGTATATCATATACTTGCAACTTCATTCTAGCTAGTAACACGTCGCTTAACTTTATTCACTCACGACGAAGAATATTAATACAAAATTTCGAGAGGCTTGGAAATTCACTTTGCTATTTCTAAATTAGTACTTTCTATTTTTCAACTATAATATTATTTCGATCTTATAATGAAACTCTCGGGGAAAAGTATCTATTTTCTAAAAGGACCATCTTGCAGTTTTCACTGTTCCTCTCAAGATAAATACTAGAAAAACACATGAGTAACATATTCCTGAAATTATTTAGACTCAAGCTCTCCTCTGTATAAAGAACATAGACAGACAAACATTTTATTATATATATATATATATATATATATATATATATATATATATATACACGTTTTTTCTGACATTCTCCCGGGATATTTTTACGAATAAGTAAAACATTTCAGTAGCTGTCAGCATGTATCAAACTATTTGGACTTAATCACTCGCGTCGATTAGCCGACTAAAGGTGATCGTTATCCCCGAGCGGATTTGACGAGCTACGAGTACAAGCCGTAACGTTCGGCTCGACGGTGCTTGACTCGATCGTTTAATAGCCTCGTTTCCCGCGCCGTTGAATCCCGACGTTCCGGCAGCGCATTTTACGCGTGCGTATTCGCGCACGATTGCTCGTACACGAACAGAAGCTACGTAGTCTCGACGAAAGATCGGTGATTATCGCGTCTTAAAGCCGTATTATCGCTACGCCCGACTTCGCCTATAAATTGGATCAGGGATAAAGCTAATCGTTACTTCTATATCGGATTCGACTGCGAATTAACAATTACACAGGACTTTTCTGACAAACTCGGATAAGAGAGATGGCGATGAAAATTTTACAGGAAAGATTATTTTAGGATTTTGTGACCGAGGAATAAATCGACATTCTGTAGTAATTCACTATCCTTTGCTTTCATATACTGAGAACAAGTGCTTGGTATTTGTAACTATAATCACATAGAAAAATAATTAAAGCTAATCGTTATTTCTATATCGGATTCGATTGCGAATTAACAATTACACAGGACTTTTCTGACAAACTCGGATAAGCTTCAGAAGAGAGATGGCGATGAAAATTTTACAGGAAAGATTATTTTAGGATTTTGTGACCGAGAAATAAATCGACATTCTGCAGTAATTCACTATCCTTTGCTTTCATATACTGAGAACAAGTGCTTGGTATTTGTAACTATAATCACATAGAAAAATAATTATTATAAATTACGTTTAAGAAAATTATTTTTTAAGATTAAATTTCATTATAATGTTTATAGCAATAACTTTACATGCATGTTATTGCTACAATTACTATTATTGCCGTGAACAACTAAAAAATATGGTTGAGGCCAAAAATACCTATAATTTTAGTCAGAGTAATTATTTTTTTTTTCTTTTAGTGTGTGTATGTACATATATACATCTTATATTTTAAAAATTGTAAAATATGATATTAAAACATTATCCCGAGTCAAAATTTTGATGCTATTTTGACGCACTTAAGGATAGTTTGCGCCTACTTAGACGATTTATAGCCTAGATAAAACCTACTTTGATGATGTTGATGCTCATTAACTTCTCTTTTGAACTTTTAACTCTACTTTGTCAAAATTTTGACGCTACTTTGACGCTCTTAAAAATAGTTTGAGTCTACTTAGATAATCTACAACCTAAGTGAAACCTATTTTGACGATATTGACACCCATTTCCGAGTCGACATTTTGACCCTATGTTGAACCTTGAATTCTACACCGCAGTAAAAGCTAAGATAGCAAAGTAGGTTTAATTCTAATGATATAATTTATTCCTACTTTGATCCTGATGATGTCTGAAATATATGCAACAAATAAAACGTATATTTTGTATGCTATTTGACGTTTCTGTTTCGTTATTTATTAAATTTTTTAAATATTTCTATAAAATACATATATTCTATGTAGGAGTTAAAGCTTTAATAGAGGTTCGCGACTGAATCTACTTTGCTTCCTAAAATCCTACTATTATACAATCAACTTTGACGTTAAAGAAAGCGAAAGCGGAAATTTCAGACATCATCAGGTTCAAAGTAGGAGTAAATTATATCATCAGAATTAAACCTACTCTGCTATCTTAATTCCTACTGCGGTATAGAATTCAAGGTTCAACATAGGGTCAAAATTTCGACTCGGGATGTTTCTAACGAAATTTACTATATTCTTTAGCAAGAAAGATCTTATTGATAATTTATTTTTGGACTACTAAAAACATATGGTAAAATTGAGAAGAATTTATATGAAAGAAAATAATATTCTCTTTGTGTGTAGGGAACACAGAAACTGAGAATTTTTACTGTATTCGTATAACCCGTAAAACTCGATTTACGATAGGAATTAGTGGCGGTATATCCGCGAGCGCGTCTTTGTTTCCGCTTTATAGTTCCATCAACCGCGCCAATCGGCCAAGTCGACAATGGTGGAGACAACAGCTTTACACGCGACTGCTCTAAGCGGTTCTTTTACGAAGACGATAAAGACGTAACAACTTGCCGGAAGAAATTACGTTTGTCGAAGTATAACAGTATCGTACGTGTCGCTGTGTACACAAAGACGCGTGACTTTTTCCTAGATACCAGTGGCGCGCGAAATCTTAAGAAGTCGGCAGATAAGAAGGCGGATCCTTGTAAGGAGTTAAGGACGCGATTTAGTGCGAATTTCGCTCTGCGAATAAGAATCATTAGATCGGAAGAAATCCCGCGGAACGTGTTCGATGTGACTGAAGAAGCGGTTACATCGATCACGATATATAAACTCTCGCGCATTTAGAGGGAAGTTTAATGAACAGTTTATTTGTAGTTAGACAGATTCAACGATGATTAAAACATATTTCCGTAATTAATAAACGCTCATTTAACCCTATATCAAATATGTCGACAAGCTCTTTCGTTAATGGCGTTACAACTTCGAGAGAAACTTGATCAAGAATTTATAACTGCAAACATCAGAGTGAAAATTATCTCTGATACAGTTTATTCAAGTTAACAGCTTATTGGCGAAGTACCTTTGAATTCGTCATTTGTAGAGACGAAATCCGCAGAGCCGGAGAGAAGCTCTTTTCGAAATTGATTTCTCAGAGATCCGCGGCGAGGAAGAAATTCCGTCGAACGATGCGATTAAACGCGAAAAGGAAGCAACGCGCAAAGAAAATGTCACGAAATGTGAAACGATATTACAGGCGTCACGATGCGATTTGTTGTTTGACGTCGATTGGAAATCACTATTCGCCCAGCCCGATATGAGTGGAATAATATTCGATAGCGCGGAGGAATCATAAAAGCAGAAAGAAAACAAATTGCACGCGCGACGGACAACACGCGACAAACGTTGGACGTGTTCGCTGACACGATGTATACGCAACGGATAATAATTTGTCTCGGCGTATAGATCCGATCGATCAATCAGGTCGATTCTCAATCCTCGAATGTGCCCCGTTAAAAGTGATAACGACGGAGAGGAGAGAAAAAAAAAGAAAATAATGGCCTGTGAACACGGAATGAGATCGCGACGCTGGTACGAGGCTGTCCGACGCGCGAGTGCAGTTTTATCGGGATTAACGAAGTGATGACATCAAACAGACGAGATATCGTTTCCCAGTGTGTCAAATTTAATCCATCAGTATATCTCTATCATCTAGCGCTTGACGCCGCGATTGCGCCAAAAGTGTATAAATTTAGATCGCCAAAGACCAATTTCGTGATAACGATAAATCGTTATAACGAAGATTGCTTTTGTCTTTGTCGATCTGCTTTAGCCATCTGCTATGTAGTCGAAATTAGTTTTCTTTATCATATTTAATACATATGTATCATATTTTTTCATGTATTATAATGTTTTTCTCCTAATAATTTGAAAAGAAAATAGAGAGAGAGAAAAGAAAAGAGAAGGAATTTTCTAAATGGTCAAATCATCAAATTATAATAACAGTATTGCACGCGGCACGTATCTAATAAAATTTTATCCATAACATATAATGATATGAATCGCTACTAATTAACATGTGAGAGATCTTTAATCCTTACATGCCGGAAAACTATTATATTGGCGCGGCGGGCTGTCATACTTTCCACTAATCTATCCTTTGATGTATATGAAAAAATTTTAGGGTAAAAACTGTAAAAGTCGTTCAAAAAAGCGCCTGGCGTGTAAAGGTTAACTAACGCCGCATTGTACTCGTGACTCCAATCGACTTGTAATTGCGTGTGGCACCATTTAACGCTCGGTCGTGATGACAATTAGGTCCTAACTCTCAAGGACGGATTACATGACGCAGTAAATAGCGACAGTCGGCTGGGATTGCCAACGAGACAACCCTTTCGTTTCCATCTCTTTTGAATCTCTAAATTCTACCAAAATTTTTAACGTTTTCTTTAACCCTTTATAAGTTTGTGGTCGATATTTTAACTACCTCACGTAAGATTCAAAATGTCTACTATTTCATACTGAACATTCAGTGGTCGATTTTTTGCTAAGCAATAATCATAATAAAAATAAGGTTTTTTATATTTCACACATTTGTCATGTATCTAGGTATGATATGTAAACTACTAATTGACATTATAGTCACTATTTAAAACAAAAAATTTGTCTTATAAAGGTTTAATTTGTAATTTCATACTCCAATAAATGAATAATAGTAAAGTTGTGGAAAAAGAAGATATGCTATTTCATTAACCTATTAATATTTATCAAATTTATTTAATATTCATTTCTCTCTCGTATTATCACTATTTGAGTATATTCTATCTAGAATTGAAGTTACACAATAAACATTACTGAGAATTATAAATTTAAGAATAAGAAATTTTTGAAAGCATGTAGACTATTGAGATAATCGAATATTAAATAATTCTTAGTCGAGTCTTTTAACTCTCAAAACAACGTTGATAAGTAATTGTTTATGGCATTATAGGAAACAATAAAGATAATTAAATGTACAACTAAAATTTTCACTCATGAAACGATAACTGAGAGACACAACTGGATTAATCAATTCTAAACAATCACACGTTCTCGTCATTTGAAGAATTCCGAATCGCACGAATAATATTATCGACAGACTGCTTTTCTTTTTTTTTAGAAAGAAGAGAGTATCGTAGGAGAAAAGACTTTATCTTAATCGAATTTTCAAGCTACAACGATAAAGAATTATGGCACCATCTTCGGTAGCAGGCGAACAATTCTCATAAAGCTAAATTGCGCGCGCGAGAGAAGAAACACAGGTTGCATAGGATACCTCCCTTCCTCCGTGAAAAGACCGCGAAGAGTAATTAGCAAATGGAATAAGCCTCGACTCACCCTTCATCTGCGACTTCGATATAGCAGGCGCCTTGCTGGACGAGCGCTTGGGCGAGGTCGGCAGGGAGAAGAGAACGTTCGCAGAGAGTCTGCTGGACTCGTCGCAGGTAGACGACGAAGACGCGACGATCGAATCCGTCGTCTGCATCAAGGACAGTTGCTGCTGCTGCTGCTGTTGTCGTCGTCGTCGGTGTTGCAGGTCCGTCAACCCCGTAGGAACGTTCGGCGTCGGTGATGCCGTCGAGGTCATCGGCGTCGTCGTAGTCACCGTCATCGACGTCGGCGACGATGCCCGCGGAGAACAATCGTCGGCATCTTTTCCCTCGCCGTTTCCCACTGCTCCGCTACTCTGTCTCGTCTGCAATTAATCATACTGGAATGTCTCTTTTTTTCATTTAAATTCTCCGTCGGAAAATTCAATCTTTGTGCGTGTAAAATTTAATATCATTAAGTTTCATACATACACAGTGTTCCACATACAAATTCATAATATTGATTAAAATTGAAATTAGTGAAGTTGCATTTTTCATTACTAAATAACTCCTAAATTATTGGATTTAAGTCACATACGTCTTGGGGATTTTCTACGCAGAATTGAGCGGTTTCTTATAATCTGCTAAAAAAAATGCTATTTTTACATTAAAAAAAATAAAATTGACATTTGCGAATGACGGTAATTAAGATTAAAAATTATTGCCTTTTTTCTCTCTAAAAAACCTATAAATTTTGTTCACAACATTTTTGTCTGCCGGGCTCGATATTTCAGATATTCAGCTGGACTGTTTAAAATAAAACATCCTGTACATACTCGACATAGTCAAAAGAATATTCAAGTGATCAATAATTATGTTTCTGATTAAATTGATAAGTATTAGTAGTTTTTTTAATATTACGTAGAGCGTATAACTAAAGCTTAGATGAATTTTCTGATAAACACGAAAGGCGAAAAAATACTGTACGTTCCTAAAGACGAGGAGAGCTTAACGGCAAACTTGCCGAAAGCACACGCTCCGTCATATTCAAACTTTCGCGTCCGGTCTACTTGTAGTTATCGTCCTACATCTATTCCGCGATAATGCGGAGAACAAAGTTCACCATACAAAAAAATACCTCATTATTGTGAAACTTGTGCGAGACGTTGACAAGTGATTAACCGTTTTCCTCGACAAAAAAGAAGAAAAAAAAAGAAGAAGTATAATGCCCACGCATGCATAATTTAAACGAGAAGTCGTCTCACTTGGGCGGGCAGATATGACAGTTGAGAAAGAAGCGCACAGGCATTATTTGTTACATTTTCCCCACGCGTGGAGCGAGAATTTCGGCAATAACCATTTCGCTCGCGAAACTATTGCGGGAGAGGTCGAATTGCCGCTGGCCGTCTGGGACGCAATAATACAGAGACTCCAGCGCGTAAGAAGCGCTTTAATCCTGCGCGGGAGTAACGCGTGTGACTACTGAGAGCCCTTTTGCTGTAAGTTAGTCGGCGGCGCTCATTGTGACCGTCGGAGCGTTGAAACGAACGATAAAGCCCGCGCGACATGCGATATGAATGAGTCGAGAAACTGCGTGCATCGGAGAAAGACGGGTCGAAGTCCCTCCCTTCCATTTGCAGTTGCAGAAATTTTGAGATATTTGTGCATTTGAAAATCTACATAGATCTTTTTATTATTAAAGATACCACCAATTGGACAATGTAGTGGACGTAACCTGTACGCTTGGTTGTAAAACGGTTTGCATACTTTTTATCGAATAAAGTTACAACGCTTCAAGTTGTCACGATCAAGGTAAAAGTACCAATGCCCAGGCACGTAGCCGAGCATTCTTATTGTTTCAATCTTTCAATGTTTAAACTTTTAACATAAAAAATATATACTTTGAATATGTACACTGTAAAAAATCTTGTGTACACAATACGTAGACAAATGTTCCAAAAAGTCCACTCTAAATTTTGTGTAAAAAATAACTCATTCATATGTTCATTCGTGTCTTATTTATATTATGTACTAGTCTATACATAATGTAAATAACACACGAATGAACATATAAATAAGTTATTTTCGACACAAAATTTAAAGTGGACTTTTTGGAACATTTGTTTACGTACTATGTACGCAAGATTTTTTACAGTGTACATATATTCTATATTGCAAATTTAAATATTCATATCTAAAGACCAAAACAATAAGAATTAGGTTCGGGAATTGGTACTTTTATCTTAAGCATCGTTGCTGATGATCATACTTATGTGCATGTGCAATAATTGGTGGCACAAGTTAAAATGAAAAAAAAAATGTGACAATAAATTTGGGAAAGAGAATTTGTCTTTCAAAATGAAAAAAGTATACTGTTTTGAAGTAATTTTTACATATTTGATAAAGTAAGATGACGGTATGTCGAATGTATGTCAGCAGCGAATCTCAATTGTGACAACTGAAGTGCTGCAATTTCATTCAATAGCGAGTGTATAGACCGTTTTGCGACACCCACATTTCGTGGCGCGCTGAAAAAAATTCCAATATCTCTATAATAGAAAACTTTTCTGAAACAAAAGCTCGTTTCCCTCCCAAGGTATATAATTGTATGACTTGAACTTACGGTACGATTTCCACGGAGAGAGAGAGAGAGAGAACGAGAGCGTCTCTCAAAGGTCTCGTTGTTTCCGCGCGCGCCTCTTTACGTAACTAAAACCGTTAATAAGAGGTGCGCCGTGAGAAAGAAAACTAAAGTAACTCCTGCGCCGGAGCTTATAACTGAAGGCAAGCACCTGCGGAACAAGCCGAGGGCAAACAGAGGCCGTCGGCACGACGTTCTCAGACCGCTCCTCGGTTACCTCCTCGCCGACGTTCTCGGGGAACTTGGAAAGAGCTGCCGCGTGAAACAGGCGTGATCCGTTACGCGACACGGATCGCCGGAAAATTTGCATTTTTGCTCGAAGAGCCGTTCGGAGCGCACGAGTCGCGCTTTGCTAATTACGTGCGCCGAGATTGGATAGACATCGCGACGGACACCTGTCTCTTAGCAGAGACTCACGCGACGAACTTCAGCGACAAGTTCGACGAAACGAATGAAATTCGTGTGCCAAGTGTCTAGCACTCCGCGATGTCCGCGGTTGATCAAATTCCGCGCGACGGAGGACATCGTCGACTGAGGGGAGAATTACGGGCGGTTATGCGCTCGCGGAAGGAAGTTTCGGCGCCAAAACCGCGCGCGAGAGAGAAAGTTTGCCTGGACGCGGTAATAAAAGCCGAGAGTCCGAAGAAGAACTTCCGGAAAGTTCTCGCGACTCTCCTTTCCGCGCGTCGCTCGTCGGCCGACACTGACAAAATTGAATCCTCGTTAAAGCGCCGTCACGTTTCGCCGATCGACATCGACACTTTCGTCGCCCCAGGAACCCGGGATTCCTTCCTTCCTTCCTTCTGCCTCCCTCCCTCCTTCCTTCCTCCTGCCAATTTAAATTACATTTCATTACGAACCCTTGTAATTGCAGGATACCAGGCGATCGTTTGCCCCGCGAAGAATCGGGGGGCCGTTTGTGCTACTACGTCGTTACAATTTGTGACTGCTCGGGTTTTGAAAGGGCGAGAGAGAGAGCTTAATCGAATAATACTCTCGCAAAATAAACGTCGTTAGTATCTGTCTCACGTTCTGAGTCGTGATACGACGCGCTGAAACCTTTTAATGTCGGCAAAATAAATTGCGAATAAATACGCTCTCATGCTTCGTTAAATTATTTACAGCGGGAACGACGCTAATACACCTTCCTCCCGGACAGCAATTACTCCGGCAATGTTATTCATTCTCTTCCGCTTGTATGCAAGAAATTGTCATCCATATTTTTAATAGCTGTTTTAATGACTCGTCCGTATCGGCACTTAGCCAAAATTATGCAGCCGCTGGACCGTGTCAATAATGTACAATAATGTACGGCTTTTATGACACGGCATTTGCGTGACACGGTTTTATAGAACGGGCGGGTCAAGAACTATATTACTTTTATCCGCTTACGTGTGTCCCGAAAAGAGATTAATTACAAGATAGCCGGGCTTTTGGGATGAAGGACGCTTCATCGTGTGATGCATTTACTACAGCTTGATAATTTTACGATATTCATTTTAACAACGTATAAATATCGGACTGATAATTTAGTGGCATTTAGAACCGCGCAAAGTGATCGTGATAATAATCTGTAATATAAATATATGTGTTTGTAGGAAAATATTTATATATTTGTAGACTCTTTGAAGAAAATTACCAATGAGAATTTTTAGTGCATCGCGACGAGAGTCATGAATTATGGATCAACTTTGATTAATAATCAATATACAGAGAAAAATATCATTCTAAGAAAAACGATCACTCAGTTTGCTTCCTCCAAGAGTAAGGATTATCTTCAACAAAGAATATTTTTTTGATAATAATCTTAAAATATATTCATTGCAAATTTGAGAAGAACTCATTATTACATATTCCAAGAAGAATTTATTCTCTTTGCAAGAAACGATTATAAAGCTTTGTCGAAAAAAAAGCTGGTTTGACTCTATGTAAGCAAGTAAGCAAATTGAATTTCTTTTTTAATTAAATATTTTTTTTACCAAAATGCTAAACTCATTAACATTCTCTTGAATAAATGAATGTCTCTTGAATAAATTAGATGCTTATGATCATCTTTTTTGATAGATTCAAGAATATATAAACTTGGGAAATACTTGAGAAAAGCAATCACCCAGTTTGTTTTCTCTCTCTCTCTCTTTCCTTCAAGTAAAAATTATCTTCAACAGAGAATATTTTTTTGATAATAGTCTTAAAATATACTCATTACAAATTTGAGGAAAAATTATTATCATATACTCCAAAAAAGAATTTATTCTCTTTGCAAGAATATAAAGCTTTGTCGGAGAAAAAATTGGTTTGACTTTATGTAAGCAAGTAAGCAAACTAAATTTTTGCTTCAATTAAATATTCTTTTGACTAAAATGCTAGACTCATCAACATTTAGAATGTCTCTTGAATAAATTAAATGCTTGTGATGCTTTTGATAGATTTGGGAATGTATAAACTTGATTTGGGAATGTATAAATATTTGACATAACTTGACTAACGTTTAGATGCAGCATTCTTCCGCGTGTAACATTCTTGATTTTTGCGAGCAATGCGAATCGCGAACCGCGGACCTGCGACCGGTATACACCCACTCGAATATGGCGATATGTCACTGGCAAAACGACGAGGTTATCGACGAATGAATGTATCACAGTCGATCGCCCACACTTCGCGCTCTCTCCCGTGAAATAATGATTCTCGCTTCATCATCGATCGTAACCGGCTCGCCGACAACCGGGGTCGGTTACCTTAATGAAA